TGACTAGATTTTGGTTCTCGATCTTTACTGCTAAAACTTCAACTACAACATTTGAGGCATTAAGCAGTTCTGTGCAAACAAGTGACTCTGCGATATACAGGCCAACCCCCCCCCCCCCTTTTTGCCTGTTCACTCTGTCGCATCTGTATAGGTTGTAACCCGGGATCCATATTTCGTTGTCCAAGTGATCCTTTATGTGGGTCTCTGTGAAAACCGCGAACATTGCATTTGCCTCTGCAAGCAGTCCACGGATGAAAGGTATTTTGTTGTTCGTTGCTGGCTTTAGACCTTGTATATTTGCAAAGAAGAATGTCATCGGATTGTTGGTACTGGTGGTACTGGGGGAGACATTTTTTTTCCGGCACTAATATCTGTATCTGTTGGTTTGGAGTGGAGGCCATCGACTGTGATTCCACTCCAAAAATGACTGGATTTGGTGTACGATTTCTGCCATTTCCTGCCAATTTTTTTTCCTTCCTGGCACTAAAAAATCCCTCCCTCCTAAGTGGCTGTGGCTACCCAGGTTTTCCCATGATCTGGATGTTTTGTATGGTTTTGTCCCCTTTAGATAGTGTGCCTGGCAATTTAAGTTATAGCACTGTCTTTCCTGTACTGAAGAGGGACACATTTCCGGGTGAAAAAAGCTCACAGGAAGGGAGTTTGCATTTTCCTGTTGTCATATGGGCACGGCATTTTCTAGGGTGGTCAAAGTTGCACGTCCCATCTGTTTTTCTAGATATCCCATGCCTGCAGATACCAAGTGCCGAATATTTGCACAGGCTTGGTTTCCGTTTGCCTTGGATTTTTGTGACTGTATTCCCTGTTGGTGCATGTTTTTCTGTCTCATTCCTATCCTCACTAGACTAACAATGGAGCTCTCACCAGTTGTTTCTGGTAATATATCCTCACTATTACTAGTGGAGTCCCCTTGTTTGCTATCTCCTGTGGTATTACTAGTTTGTAATATTGGTTTTATCTTGTCCTTGACTACACTTGTTTCCCCACTACATATCCCGTCTCGCTCGAGGCCACTGTTATACATTCCTCCATGCATACAGTTACTGTCTACCAGGACAGCACCTCCAGCCTCACAGTAACTGTCTACCAGGACAGCACTTCCAGCCTCACAGTAACTGTCTACCAGGACAGCACCTCCAGCCTTACAGTTCCTGGCTACCTGGCCAGCACCTCCAGTCATACAGTTACCGTCAGCCAGGACAGCATCCGCACCAAGGGCGATGGTACCATCCAGCCCAGACTTTGTTTTTCCCATCTGTTATAGAATGCTTCCAGGTTTTCTATGAAGGCTGCTTTGATGTTATCCTCTTTTAATACCAATGTGATTTTAGTCCACAGATTGATCTCATTTGGGCGTGAGCCCAATTTCCACAAAGGCTGCATATAACCCATGTGGAAGCCCACTTGTTTATGTGGCTGCAGACTACACAGGATTTCATAATGTGATTTTGAGGGTTGATTTACTGTAATTCTACTAATAACCTCTTGAATATTCTACTAATAACCTCCTTAAAGTGAAGATCTGGCTATTTGTATTTCTATTTCTATTTGTACTTGTATATTTGGACAAGCTTACCACTCTAAATTACTGCTTTAGTAGTTATTGTTTGTGTGTTTGATAAGGGCGCCTAAAACCCCGTCTGTTTATAGTCCGTTTATAGTCAGTTTTATTGTCCAACGAATCCGTTTGAAAACGGTCAAGGGTTCGCAACCAGTCGGATCTGATCAGTGGATCACATATTAAAACATATCTGGTCGGTGATTTGGGCTAACACATGAAGGAACTACTGGAAATTATTTAACCGAGTAATATGGGATTAGATTAATACAAAAGTATAACTTGAGTGTTGGAGAACCGGTGATTGCTGGCAGCTCCTACAATAACGAACGGTCGAACCTCAACCCTTATTTACAGCCTGAAGGATTTATAGATCACTGTATTAAGCTTTTCTAGATTTTTTCCGTCTCCACCACAACAAATGCTATGTTATCACTATAGTTGGCTGGTGAAGATTACTGGAGGAAAGTCGCTTTTACTGGAGTAATATTTGCTTTTCGTTATGTATATTGCGACCGCTGCTAACTACAGGTTATATGAATTTCCACTGTATACGTCTAGTATTTCAAAAATGAAGAAAAAACTAATGATGGTCATTCCACCCCACGAAGTACCATTATATTACTGAAAGAAACCCAAAGTATTTCTTCTCCTATGCCAAATCAAAATCGAGAACAACGTCCAGTATTGGGCCCCTACTTAAACAAGATGGGTCCTACACAGATGACAGCAAGGAAATGAGTGAGCTACTCAAGTCCCAATATGACTCAGTTTTTAGCAAGCCGCTAACCAGACTGAGAGTCGAAGATCAAAATGAATTTTTTATGAGAGAGCCACAAAATTTGATTAACACAAGCCTATCCGATGTTATCCTGACGCCAAATGACTTCGAACAGGCGATAAATGACATGCCCATGCACTCTGCCCCAGGGCCAGACTCATGGAACTCTGTGTTCATCAAGAACTGCAAGAAGCCCCTATCACGAGCCTTTTCCATCCTATGGAGAGGGAGCATGGACACGGGGGTCGTCCCACAGTTACTAAAAACAACAGACATAGCCCCACTCCACAAAGGGGGCAGTAAAGCAACAGCAAAGAACTACAGACCAATAGCACTAACATCCCATATCATAAAAATCTTTGAAAGGGTCCTAAGAAGCAAGATCACCACGCATCTAGAAACCCATCAGTTACACAACCCAGGGCAACATGGGTTTAGAACAGGTCGCTCCTGTCTGTCTCAACTATTGGACCACTACGACAAGGTCCTAAATGCACTAGAAGACAAAAAGAATGCAGATGTAATATATACAGACTTTGCAAAAGCCTTCGACAAGTGTGACCATGGCGTAATAGCGCACAAAATGCGTGCTAAAGGAATAACAGGAAAAGTCGGTCGATGGATCTATAATTTCCTCACTAACAGAACACAGAGAGTAGTCGTCAACAGAGTAAAGTCCGAGGCAGCTACGGTGAAAAGCTCTGTTCCACAAGGCACAGTACTCGCTCCCATCTTGTTCCTCATCCTTATATCCGACATAGACAAGGATGTCAGCCACAGCACCGTGTCTTCCTTTGCAGATGACACCCGAATCTGCATGACAGTGTCTTCCATTGCAGACACTGCAAAGCTCCAGGCAGACATCAACCAAATCTTTCAGTGGGCTGCAGAAAACAATATGAAGTTCAACGATGAGAAATTTCAATTACTCAGATATGGTAAACATGAGGAAATTAAATTGTCATCAGAGTACAAAACAAATTCTGGCCACAAAATAGAGCGAAACACCAACGTCAAAGACCTGGGAGTGATCATGTCGGAGGATCTCACCTTCAAGGACCATAACATTGTATCAATCGCATCTGCTAGAAAAATGACAGGATGGATAATGAGAACCTTCAAAACTAGGGAGGCCAAGCCCATGATGACACTCTTCAGGTCACTTGTTCTATCTAGGCTGGAATATTGCTGCACACTTACAGCACCTTTCAAGGCAGGTGAAATTGCCGACCTAGAAAATGTACAGAGAACTTTCACGGCGCGCATAACGGAGATAAAACACCTCAATTATTGGGAGCGCTTGAGGTTCCTAAACCTGTATTCCCTGGAACGCAGGAGGGAGAGATACATGATTATATACACCTGGAAAATCCTAGAGGGACTAGTACCGAACTTGCACACGAAAATCACTCATTACGAAAGCAAAAGACTTGGCAGACGATGCACCATCCCCCCAGTGAAAAGCAGGGGTGTCACCAGCACGTTAAGAGACCATACAATAAGTGTCAGGGGCCCGAGACTGTTCAACTGCCTCCCAGCACACATAAGGGGGATTACCAACAGACCCCTGGCAGTCTTCAAGCTGGCACTGGACAAGCACCTAAAGTCAGTTCCGGATCAGCCGGGCTGTAGCTCGTATGTTGGTTTGCGTGCAGCCAGCAGCAACAGCCTGGTTGATCAGGCTCTGATCCACCAGGAGGCCTGGTCTCAGACCGGGCCGCGGGGGCGTTGACCCCCGGAACTCTCTCCAGGTAAACTCCAGGTAAACAACAACACTGTGGAAGGATTCTGGTTGATAACTGGTCTTATTGTTGTAAACCTTAACTGATATCGTATTTTCACAAAACTGTACACTTTTCGTATTTCCTCATGATTTTGCAACTTATTGTAATTTAAAAAGAAAAAAAAAATTCCCCACTGATATCACTAGATTATAAGCGAGGTACACTAGCAGGCCAGGAAGATTATTAAAACAGCTGACCTGTGTGGTAGGTACTGGCGACTGCTGACACCTGCCTCTTTAAGCCTATAACTTCAGTTACAATTACACCTGTTTTAAATGACACTTTAGCATTTATTATCTATATACTAGGGTGCCACTGTGGTATACACTATAACACTATGCATACTAGGGTGCCACTGTGGTATACACTATAACATTGTGTATACACAGTATTATCAGGGAGACTCTTTCCTCGGACAAAGAAAAAAGTTCTACTATTATTTTTCACACTAGGCCTATAGTTCCCCTCTGGCAGTATACTCTGCTAGGTATTGCACACTAATTCTCCTTTTTTAACTCAGCATATACTATTTTCTCCCCAAGATTGGTTCCAAACGCTAGAGGGATGTATCGTATAGGATCGCTGGCACAGTTTAAAGTTCTAGCACGTAAGAGAGACCGTGAAAACACGAGAAAACACAGAGCACAAAGAGGCACGCCTGCTGTCCGTTTCGGATTTTATCACATTACAATCCAAGCAATTTTAAATTTATTAGATATTCTCTAAGCCATTTCCATAATTTATTAGAAGTAATAATCTGTAAGTCACAACACATTTTGATAAAAAAACGAAAAAATCCTTCTGTTTGACTAAAAAAGCTGTTTGGATTATCTTGGCTGGAAAGAGTGTGTACACTGACCTCTGGAAGTAGTCTGTACAGAGCTGTGCTACATGATCATGGATGGTACCCATGCCCTTCACTAAGCTGTTCTTCACCTCTGTGGTGCTGATGATCTCGTATCTCTTAAGGTAGTGCTGTGCTACTGCCACCAGCGCTTCCTTGGGCCATGGCTGGAACCAGTCAATGGTACAACCACTGATCAGCCCAGGAAACCTCATTGCGCGACTCCTGAACTTTTCCCCGACCTGAGGATGTTAGAGGTCATCATCAGATGGAATACCATGCTATCACACACCTCCATGAACATGTAAATTTATTAAATTTTTAATGTTAAATTAATTGTTAAAATTCATTATCTGTTAAAATTTGTTAAATCGGCATATTGTACATGCATATTCTACTTTGTGGAAAAAGGCACTTACATACACTTCAGGATATTTATTACTGGAAACGTTTCGCCACGATTGGCTTCTTCAGTCCTGATACAGAGATAACTAAGAGCGAGTATATATAGCGGCAGGAGTCAGGTGGTAAGCTGCGAGAGGGTAGTAGTAGCAGTAATAGTGGCAGTAGTTAAAGTGGTGGTAGTAGTAATAGTAGTAGTAGTAGTAGTAGTAGTAGTAGAAGCAGTGGTACTAGTGGTAGTAGTGGTATTATTAATAGTTGTAGCAGCAGCAGTGGTACCACTTGTAGTGGTAGTAGTAGTAATGGTACAAGTAATAGTAGTAGTAGTAGTAATAACAGCAGCAGTGGTACTAGTAGTAGTAATAGTAGTAGTAGTAGTAGTAGTAGTAGTAGTAGTAGTTGCCGTAGTAGCAGTAGTAGTGGTAGTAGTAGTAATAGTAATACTAGTAGAAGTAGTATAATTGTGGTGAAAGCTTACAGAATTTCCAGTCCACAGTTCCTCGAGGAAGAATGCACATACATCATACATTCATTCAGTTTGCTACACTTCTCCCTGCACTTCATACGTGATTACAGGAAACGTGCCACACACATCTTTAACAAAACTAACACTAATCCAGTTGAAGGAAAGCCTCCCAGTTACATCGTTTTACTGGTTAGCGACGTTGCAACTAAAGTCTAAAAAATCTTCACAGAAAACGTGTTAAAATATCTACCAGCTCTTCAAATACTGTTAAAAGCCTAGTGAAGAAAAAACAAGAATGATGCTGGGACTAGCGCAGGAGTATATACAGTACCATGTGGGGGATGTGACAAAATGTATGTGGGTAAAACAGCGAGATCTCTGGATATTAGGATCAAGGAACACAGAGCACCTGCAACAGTGATGACTGCAGAAATGCGTGTGCTCAACACACACACCTCTCATGCTGGACACCTCATGAAATTCAGTGGAGTTAGGTTAGTCATTAAGGAAGAAGATTTACAACAGCGAAAGTATATAAAGGCTGCACTAATTACTTTCAGTAACACTATCCAACAAAAATCAGGAAGTTACACTGTATCCAAATTGCTGATCAAAAGGATATTACCCATTCTGGAGACTGCTTTAACATGATGTTAACAAGTCCTTCTCTAACCCAACCCATCTTACTACTATCTACTACCACCTTCTCGTACCTTATCCCCTGACTCCTGCCACTATATATACTTGTTCTTGGATATTTCTCTATTAGGACTGAAGAAGCCACTCGTGGTGTAACATTTCCTTTAATAAATGTTCTGAACTGTACATAAGTGTCTTATTCCACATCTTGTCAGTATCACCAGACCATTTTTCATATTCTATCTGTTTTATTACATTTTATTTACTACGTACAAAACAGTCATTTTATTTTCTCTTTTAAATATTAACACATCATCAGATAATATTTGTCTAATAAAACTAAAAGTATGAACTAGAGAATGAACTGCACTATATGATATATGACCAGAGGTGTACAGTAAACCTTGATTACCTGGGGATTGAAGGATATTTGAAGGATAGCAAATAGGCATTTATAGCCTTTTAAGAATCCTTGTAGTTGAACATATAAAAATATAACCAAACTTGTGCTGACTTTTGCACAGTGTCATGAATAAGTTTCCTTGATTACTTCTCTCTCCACTTATGCTTTAAGAATAAAACAAAGAAGGAGCACTGCAGCAGGCCTACTGGCCCAAGGTAAACAGGTTCCCCTCAAACCCACCAACACCCATTCATGTACTTGTCAAACCTATTTTCAAGTTACACAAGATTTTAGCTTCAGTGACGCTCAGAAGTTTGTTCCATAACCCATTCCTGTCTTCGTTAGATAGTTTGGCACGTTATTTACATCCCCTTTATTTATTCCTGTTTTCCGGAGGTATCCTGACATTTTTTGCCGCTTTAACTCCTTGTGCTATAACCTATTTATTTTCCACATACACATACACACGCATACCTCTATCTTCAATCATTTTAAAGTCTTAGACAACTCAACAATGGCCCCCCTCAAAAGAGACTGTCAATGCTATCACCATAAATATGAAATATGATCAATTTTCAATAAAGAATTCTTGTAACATCAAATTTACAGTAAGCTTTTAATAGAAGTACAGTACTGGAAAATTACCAGTGGCTACAACATCAGCACATGCGAGTGATCAGTTTTGATACTTAAGGAGTGGCGGAGGAACTGAATAAGGATTTGAAAAATACAAGTGAGAGTAAGAAATGTAAGAACAGATGTTGCAACTATTTAAAGAGTGGCAGGTATGAATGATGGAGAGAGGAGGTCAAGGCCAGGTGAAGCAGACACGGAGGAGCACAGACTGACGAAAGACAGAGGCTCACTCACCGGTGAAAAGCAAAGAACAACGTGAAGGTTCTGTCTTGTGCGTGTAAGGAAAAAGTCCATGACGTTCTCTGGAGTGGGAGGCCGTCGTGGATGTTCTCTCTTCATGACTGGAATCAACTCACTCACAATCTCACTTTGTTCATCTCTGTTGAACAGGTTGCTCACCATGCCTGAGGGTCACCAAATTTAAATGTTTAATTTCATCATCAGCAAATTTAGGTCATATTGAAACTATTTAGGGCAAGCAAGAACAAGTTTTGTGTGCAAGCTAAGTTTCCAGAGGCTTTACTTCACTCTCATCATTCTTAAACATCACGAAAACTTGCCTGGTAAACTGTACAGTATCAATTAATTTTCACATTTAAACTTAACTACAATGATTTTTCATTATTTCTATTAACTATCACTTGACCTTTTCGCTTTAATAGATTACTATATGAGTACGCTATGTATACATTTTATGCAATACATAATTATATTCAGTAGCATCGTTTGGCCTTGAGCTGAATTATGTCAATCCATATGTTCTCAAATCTTTATCATTTTGAATACACAGGTGAATGTTTTGATAATAAGGGAGAGACTGTGATGAGTGACAAGGATTTAGGTATGAACAGGATGTAGATGTATATCATAAGGGTTCTGGTCTAGTGAGAAAAAGGCAATATGTTTGGTGACAGTTACAAGTCAATATGGGAATCATGTCGCTGTAACATGTTTTAGCGATGTTGTAACAATGATATGAAGGAATAACAGCTGAAGGTTATTAGGGTTATTAACTGACACTGCACTAAAACGGTAGAACTACTTAAAATATAATATAAACGAAAACATGAAAAAAGGTACCTACAACCAGTAGGCAGAAGCACGCCACCTCTGGAGTAGATATCTGAGTATACCTGGAGGGTGTTCCGGGGGTCAACGCCCCCTCGGCTCGGTTCAAAACTGGCCTCGCGGTGGATCAGGATCTGATCAACCAGGCTGTTACTGCTTATCGTACTTATGTGTGCCGTGATTTTCTCTGTACATTCTCCAGGTCAGCAATTTCACATGTCTTGAAGGGGACAGTTAGTGTACTGCAGTATTCCAACCTAGAGAGAACAAGCGATTTGAAGAGAATCATCATGGGCTTGGCGTCTCTAGTTTCGAAGGTTCTCATTGTCCATCTTATCATTTTCTAGCAGATGAGGTAGATACATTGTTGTGGTCTTTGAAGGCGAGATCCTCTGACATTATCACTCTCAGGTCCTTCACATTAGTTTTTCGCTCTATTGTGTGGTTAGAATTTGTTATGTACCCTGATACAGTTTTAATTTTTTCAAGTTTTCCATATATGAGTAGCTGAAATTTCGCTTCATTGAACTTCATGTTGTTTTCTGCGGTATATTTAAAGATTTGGTTGATGTCCATTTGGAGTCTTGCGGTGTCTTCGACGAAGGACACTGTCATGGCAGCTCCGGTGTCATCCGCTTACATCTCTGTCTATGTCAGATATGAAGATGAGCAACAGGATGGGAACGAGGACTGTGCCTTGTGGAACAGCAGCTTTTCAATGTAGCCGCCTCGGACTTTACTCTATTTACTATTACTCTTTGTGTTCTATTTGTTAGGAAGTTATAGATCCATCTACCAACTTTTCCTGCTATTTCTTTATCGCTCATTATGTGAGCTATTACCCCGTGGTCACACTTGTCGAAGGCTTTCGCAGTCTCTGTATACTACATCCGTATTTTGTTTATCCTCTACAGCATCCAGGACCTTATCATAGTGGTCCAGTAGCTGGTACAGGCAAGAGCGACCTGCTCTAAACCCGTGTTGCCCTGGGTTGTGTAACTGTTGGATATGTAGGTGGTTGGCTATCTTGCTTCCTAGAACCCTTTCAAAGATTTTTTGAAATTGGTTGTTAGCGCTGTCGGTCTGTAGTTCTTTGCAATTGCTTTACTGCCATCTTTGTAGAGTGGGGCTATGTCTGTTGTTTCTAGTGGCTGTGGGATTACCCCTCTGTCCATGCTCCCTCTCCATAGAAGGCTGAAGGCAGGTGACAGGGGCTTTTTGCAGATCTTGATGAACACGGAGTTCCACGAGTCCGGACCTGGGGCAGAGTGCGTTGGTATGTCATTAATTGACTTTCCGAAGTCTTGTGGTGTTAGGATAATATCAGAGATTTTTGAAATGACCAAGTTTTGGGTCTTGGTCATAAAAAAATCATTCGGACTGCCGACCCTTAGTCTAGTTAACGGCTCACTGAACACTGAGTCAGTCGTATTGGGACTTTAGTATATCTCTCAATTCTTTGCTATGATCTGTGTAGGTCCCATTTCGTGTAAGCAGGGGTCCAATACTGGATGTTGTTTGCCCATATATTTGGCATAAAAGAAGAAGTATTTTGGGTTTCTTTCAGTATCAGTGATGGCTTTAAGTTCTTCCTGAGATTCTTATCTCCTGTAAGATTCTTTAAGCTTAAGTTCGATATTTGCTATTTTTCTGACCAGAGCCTCCCTTCATATTTCAGATATACTGGCCCCTCTCAGCAGCTCTGTGATTCTTCGCCTTCATCTGTATAGGGAGCGCCTCTGTCTTTCTAATTTACAGCTTCTCTTTCTTTTTCTTAATCGAATGTGCCCTGAACAGACATCAAGTGCCACACAGTTATTTTTTTTCAGACAAAGGTTCGGATCCATGTTGTTTAAGATATTTTCCCAGCTTGTTTCATTTAGGACATGGTTGACTTATTCCCACGGTGTGTTTTTGTTACTGAAATTGAAGTTTTTTGAAAGCACCCTCATAACTGATCACATTCTGCTGGTCAGGAGCCCTGCGCATACATGTCTGTACCTCTATGATGTTGTGATCTGAGAATATTGTTTTTGATATGGTAATACTACGTATCAGATCGTCGTTGTTAGTGAAGATGAGGTCCAGCATATTTTCTAGTCTTGTAGGTTCTAATATTTGCTGGTTTTAGGTGAATTTGGTGCAGAGATTTAATAGCCTAGAGAGAACAAGTGATTTAAAGAGAATCATCATTGGATTTTCATCCCTAGTTTTGATGGTTCTCTTTATCTATTCTACCATTTTCCTAGCAGATATGATAGAAACATTGTTTTGATTTAAGAAAGTGAGCTTTTCTGACATTATTACTCCTAAATTCTTCACTTTTTTTCGCTCTGTGTGGCTACAATTTGTTTTATACTCCGACCCTGTTTATATTTCCTTAAGTTTCCATCAAGGAGTAATTGAAACTTATCCTCATTGAAATTCGTTTTGTTTTCTGAGGCCCATTTGAAGACTTGGCGAACATCCACTTCGAGATTTACAGTCTCCTTATTGGATGACACTATCGCGCAAGTTCTGGTGTCGTCCGCAAAGGAAGACACAGTGCTGTACCCTGTGGAATAGAGCCACCAGATGAACACGATGGATTTTGCCGCTGGGGACAACACCGACAACACTACTTTTTAATACGTGACAAATCCGCAAGCATCAGAATGCCCTCCTTCTAAGCTCTGCAGTTCCAAGTGATTAAGAAAGATGCTGAAAAATGTGAAAAACTCATACAAAGAAAATGGTGGGTGACGGGGGAGAAAGAACTCCCCCCCCCCAAAAAAAATATCACTATATCCAAGTATTTATTGTATACAAAACTAACAAAAGGGGTTCGGTAAGTTGTATCTGAGAGGGTTTGGGCTTAAAAGGGTACTATTAAAAGATAAAATGTGGAAGGAGAAGAGGAGGTATAACTGAATAAATTTAACAATTATATGGATTAGAATAAAGGTGAAATGTAAGAAGTGGGATATAGTAATAGTTTATGCACCTAGTAAAGGTGTATAGATGAGAGAGAGAGAGAGAGAGAGAGAGAGAGAGAGAGAGAGAGAGAGAGAGAGAGAGAGAGAGAGAGAGAGAGAGAGAGAGAGAACAGCAAGACATCCTATTGGGGCAAGTGATCCACAAGGAAGCGTGTTGGGACCATTGTTGTGGAATGTCTACTTCAATGACTTTCATCTCATCCCAGAATCCCATGCATATGCAAATGAGTGTACACTGACATTCACTTATCCAAGAGAAGAAATGCCAACTGCTCTAAGCTGCATCAATCACCAGTTAAGAGCTATATCAGCTTGGGGAAATATATGGCAAGTAAAATTTGCACCTGAGAAAACACAAATGATGATCTCTAGGCACCATGATGGTAATGCCGGTGTAGTAGTAAGAATGAATGGGAGGGTGTTGGCACCTGGGGAAGAAGTTGATATAATTGGGGTGAAATTTGACTCCAAACTGATCATGAAGAACCATGCTGTAAATCTTGCAAACAAGGCAGCCAGGAAGCTTACAGCACTTCGCCGTATCTCGCATCTGCTTGACAGTAGGGGTTGCAAGATTTTGTACGAGGCACAAGCACGCTCACACCTTGAGTATGCTCCACTTTCTTGGTTTGCCTCCTCCCCCTCTCATTTGCGACTGCTTGACAGAGTAAAGAACAGAGCAAGACGTCTCATCTCTCGCCCGGACCCATCCTGGATAGATCTGTCATTTCAGCAGAGCCTTCAACACAGGAGGGATATGTATGGCCTTACTGTTATGTACAAGGCCATTATTGTCAAAGTACCACACTTGGATCCAATTCGGGGACAACGTGAAGCAAGCTTCAGTACCACAAGAAGGGCAGAAAGCAGCAACTTCACTCTGGCTGTACCCTTCTCCAAAACATCACTTCATCTGAGATCATATATACCCAGGATGACTCGAGTATGGAACACATTCGTACAGCATTATGATGTCAACGAGATAAAGTCAGTTGATCAAATGAAAATGCTGGCCCACAGATGGCTCCCACTTCATCCTGTTCCCTACTTGTATGTCTCATAACAATAAAAATGCTTTCAAATGAGCTGATATAGGTAACAGCTCTTAGCTTGTAAATAAACTTAGGAATCCTTAACCTGTAAATAACTTGACAATAAAGCTAGGGATCCTTAACCTAACCTTGTCAAACCCTGTGTAAAAAAAAAAATTAACCAAACGAAAAAATAATTGTTGTCCAAGAGACAAATGCTAAGGAAGAAAAAGCTATGAATTAGCAGATATAACGTTGATGGGTAACTTCAAGATATGCATGCTTTTAAAGAGACGATAGAAATATCAGATGATGATTTAATGATAACTACAGTGAGAGGAAGAGGTTGACTGGGTATGATGAGAATGTCATTATTAGGTAAGAGAGAAGTTAATAAATAAAAATAAGAGATAGAGTAAAGATTTATGCAATTACTCGAAGAACGATGGGCTAGAGAGAGTATAAGTACAGAGGAGAAAGCCGAAGAGGAAGAATCATGCAGAAGATTCAAGAAAGAAATATTAGAGTGCAACAGTAGTTCATGGGTATGAAGGACGAGTACGGGATGTAATAAGAGCAATTAGTGGGATGATCAGGTAAAGAGGATGGTTTTGGGAAAAAATGTTATCAAATGAGTAGTTTTCATAATACAGAAGTGATATATGGATGGCGCAGTACTGTACATATAGAGTAAAAGAGGCGTAATAAAAGAGACCCAGTAAAATACTGGGATAGGTTTTATAAACAAATAATGATGAACATAAGAAAAAGTTTTGGAGTGTGATTAATAAGCTGAGATAGCCTAGGGAATAAATGAATTTAATAGTTAAAAACAAAAGAGGAATGTTATTAAATAGGGAAGTGGAAGTATTGGGAAGATAGAGGAATATTCTGAGGAGTTTCTGAATGTTGATGAAGAAAAAGGGGCGGTGATTTCCTGCATTGGGCAGTGATTTACCTGCCACATGTAAGTGTGGGGAAAGTGTGTGTCACTGGGAAGAATGAAAGGTGATAAAGCAGCTGGGATAGAAGGGATTATGACAAAACTGATAAAAGCCGGTGGGAACATAGTGTCAGAGTGGTTGGTGAACTGATTCAGAATATCCATGAAAGGGGGAAAAGGGTCCTGGGGATTGGAAGAGAACATGTATAGTTCTTACGTAAATGGGGAAAAGAGGATAAACAAAGATTGTAAGAATTATTGAGGAATAAGTCTGTTGTATATACCAACCATGTAAAATGCATGCTAGGATTGAAGAATTAAAGGTAAGATAGAGAGTAAATTGAAGATAAACAAATAGGTTTAAGGCAGGGTAGAGGATGTATAAACTAAGTGTTTGGATTGAAGAAAATAAGTAAACAATACTTAGATAAACGTAAGGAACTTTTTGTGAATTCATCGTCTCCGAAGAGACATAGGAGAGAAATGTGACAGATGTTGCAAATATAATGAATAGATGGTAGAGTGTGAAGAGCAGTGAAGAGTTTGTATGTGGGTAGTGAGGCTCAGGTGAGGATATGTAGGAGATATGGGGACTAGTTTCTGTTAAAAATTGACCTTGGACAGGGATGTGCGATGTCCCCCTAGTTGTCTAACATATTTAGAAATGGGGTTGCAAAATAAGCTAAGTCCCGGGTGTTGGAGAGGGATGTGGGGATTAAAAGATAATTAAGACTTTGAAGACTTTGAAAAGGCAATAAATGACATGCCCATGCACTCTGTCCCAGGCCTAGACTCGTGGAACTCCGTGTTCATCAAGAACTGCAAGACTCCCCTGTCACGGCCCTTCAGCATTCTATGGAGAGGTAGCGTGGACACAGGGGTCATCCCACACTCACTAAAAACAACAGACATAGCCCCACTCTACATAGGTGACAGTAAAGCAATTGCAAAGAATTACAGACCGATAGCACTAACATCCCTTATCATAAAAATCTTTGAGAATGTTCTAAGAAGCAAGATAGCCAACTACCTACATACCCAACAGTTACACAACCCAGGACAACACGGGTTTAGAGCAGGTCGCTCCTGCCTGTACCAGCTACTGAACCACTATGACAAGGTCATGGATGCTATAGAGGATAAACCAAATGTAGAGATAGTATACCCAAACTTTGCAAAAGCCTTCGAAAAGTGTGACCAGGGTGTAATAGAGCACAAAATGCGTGATAAAGGAACAACAGGAAAAGTTGGTAGATGGATTTATAACTTCCTGACAAATAGAACACAAAGCAATAGTAAACAGAGTAAAGTCCGAGGCATCTACGGTGAAAGCTCTGTTCCACAAGGCACAGTACTCGCCCCCATCCTATTCCTCATCCTTATATCTGACATAGACAGAAACGTAAACCATAGCTCCGTATCTTCTTTTGCGGATGACACACGAATTACCAAGATAGTGTCTTCCATCGAAGACACCGCATGACTCCAAGCGGACATCAAGCAAATCTTCAAATGAGCCACACGAAACAATATGAAGTTCGAGACACTTATGCAGCATATGGGAATCTTTACTGAAGAAAAGCTTCGCCACACAGTGGCTTCATCAGTCCAATACAAAGCAGAAACGTGTAAAGAGTGAAGAAGTTTGAGGTGATCAGTCCTTCAGCCTGGAATCGATGTGTTCAGTGCATCACTCTTGCAGAAAGTACAGCATAGGGCCAGAGAAGTGCTGTAATCAGGTGGGACCCTCCACTAGTGTAAGTAGGTCTTCGTCCAAAGGTTGAACAAGTGTTGAAGAATTCTTCGTATCAAGATCCCATGATGTTGCAGTGTTAAACTTACTTACACTAGTGGATAGTTCCACTGTGATCCCGCCTCCACCTGCTTCGACTGACCTGACTACAATATAAAAACCTCTTATCTGGCTCTATGCTGTACTTTCTATGAGAATGATGGACTAAACTCATCGATTCCAGACTGAGGGACTGATTGCCTCAAACTCCTCCACTCTTTACAGCTGTCTGCTTTGCAGTGGAGTGATGAAGCCACTGTGTAGCGAAGCGTTTTTTCAATAAAGATTCCCATATGTTGCATAAGTGTCTCAATCTTCAACTTGTCGGTTTTCAAAACCATTTATCACATCTGTAAGACACTGCAACATCATGGGATCTTGATACAAAGAATTCTTCAGCACTTGTCCAACCTTCGGACGAAGACCTACTTACACTAGTGGATGGTCCCACTATGATCCCACCTCCTCCTGCTTCGACTCACCTGAGGATTTACTATGTATCGGCGGGAGAAGACGTGGGCGAAGGTCGATGTACTAAATAAGACAACTAGAGGAAAACGACGTTTATATAATACTTAGATATCTTGATTGCAGATAAAAATACCCAAAACTGATACCTAAAAGTGTAACATGTGTTGTATTCATCAGTCAACTAGTATGGGTCATTCACCTGAGGACAGAACGTTATTGAGGTATTCTAGGAAGGCTTCCTCCTTGACTTCCTGGTCAGTGAAGATGAAGGTGGTTCCCTTGCCTTGGATCCCGCACGTCCGATACAGTACCTTCAGGTCTTCTAATAAGTTGGCTGTATTGTAAGATCTAAGAGATAAATATAAGTTACTAATAAGAACATGAAATAATTTGTCGTTAAGCTTACATTATTAATTTTCTTCTTAATTGCTCAATATGCACAATATTCCATGTTTATCTCAATATAATAAATCTACAAGTGTTTCTTAGAGGCACATTAACATAATTCAATTTACATTATTTCTATTTCTTGTATTTCATAATTCTTTATTTAAGAACATAAGAAAGGAGGAACACTGCAACAGGCCTACTGGCCCATACTACGGAAGTGCTTGACTCTGGTGACGGTTTCTTGTTTCAAGGAATTAGAACTACCATTCACTTCCGCAGGTCAAATTGGTTTACCTCCCCTTTGCCTGGCAGAGTATGACCCCTACAAGTTTAGAGCTTTCCCATGATTATTATAATAATTATTATTATTGCTGCTGCATTCGTCAGAATACATACCGTGTGAGGGCAATCTGGAAGGTCTTGTAGCCAGCGATGAATGAGGCCAACTTGGTGAGCGACTGCTTGCCAGAGCCGCCAACACCAACCAACAAGGCATTTCCTCCTGGGTTGCGTATGATGCGGGAGATCTGTGCAGTAAGTACCCGACAAGACTTTAGTGCCACAAATAGGGAGAAACACTGAGTGATGTTAAATGCGTTTTCTTCTTTGGGTCTCCCTGAACTGGTGAAAAAAATGGATGTTGTAAAAAAAATGTGTACGTCAAAGGTCATTAGGACAAACTGGAAAAAAAAAATACCTTAGAAAAATAGGTAAGACGACAGGAAGAAAGGCCGGACGAAAGGTAAAAAAGTGATCCACACAGACATATCTAAGGCAAAGGCATCATACACACACACACATACCAGGATCCTGCAGGAGAAAGCACGATTAAGGGACATGCCGGCATACAGGAAGGTGTATCTCGACCGCGACAGAATACAAGTAGAAGGGCAGAAACTGAGAGAGATGGTACAAAGGCGAAAGGAGGAAAGAGAGGGGATGGAGAAGACAGACAGGAGATCCCAGACCCAGGAAGAAGATCAAATACAGCCTCCCTCACAACTTCCTATAGAAGCCTCCCAACCAGGTCAACCCCAGTGCAACCAAACACTCTAAATCAAAACACCCATGCCACATCCAATGCCCCCACCCACTACATTACAAACTCCACCCCCACAGCAACAACCCATAGTTCCTTACCAGGTCTCCCACTTCCCCAACCCCAATATACCTCCCAGACCACAGTCTTAGAAAAGAAGTTGAAGGTGTGGTATACAAATGCAGATGGAATAACAAACAAGTATGAGGAGTGGCACAAAAGAATCAAAGAGACTTCCCCAGACATAATAGCACTCACAGAAACAAAACTCACCAGAATAATAACAGATTCAATCTTTCCATCCGGATATCAAATCCTCAGGAAAGACAGAGGGAGGAGAGGGGGAGGAGGAGTTGCACTGCTCATTAAAAACCAGTGGGGTTTTGAGAAAATGGAAGGAATGGATGGCACGGGCGAAAGGGACTACTTAGTATAAACAATCCAGTCTGAGGGACATAAGGAGATAATTGCAGTAATGTACAACCCACCACAGAACTGCAGGAGGCCAAGAGAAGAATATGATGAGAGCAACAGAGCAATGATCGACACACTAGCCGAGGTGGCCAGGAGAGCACACATGGGGGGAGCAAAGTTACTAGTTATGGGTGATTTCAATCACAAGGAGATTGACTGGGAAAACCTGGAGCCCCATGGGGGTCTCGAAACATCGAGAGCCAAGATGATGGATGTGGTACTGGAAAACCTCATGCATCAACATGTTAGAGACACTACCAGAGAGAGAGGAGAGGATGAACCAGCAAGGCTGGACCTTGTATTCACCATGAGTAGTTCGGACATCGAGGGTATCATGTATGAAAGGCCCCTGGGAGCTAGTGATCATGTGGGCCTGTGCTTCGACTACATAGTTAAGCTCCAAGTGGAGAGAGTAGCAGGAATAGGCTGGGAAAAACCAAACTACAAAAGGGGGAACTACTCAGGCATGAGCAACTTCCTTCAAGACATTCAGTGGGAGAGGGAACTGACAGGAAAACCAGTACAAGAAATGATGGACTATGTAGCAACAAATGCAAGGAGGCAGAGGAGAGGTTTGTTCCCAAGGGAAACAGAAATAATGGGAAGAACAGAACGAGTCCTTGGTTCACCCAAAGGTGTAGGGAGGCAAAAACTAGGTGTACTAGAGAATGGAAAAGGTACAGAAGACAGAGAACTCAGGAAAATAAAGAAATCAGCCGAAGAGCCAGAAACGAATATGCACAGATAAGAAGGGAGGCTCAGAGACAATATGAAAATGACATAGCATCAAAAGTAAAGACTGACCCGAAGCTGTTGTACAGCCACATCAGGAGGAAAACAACAGTCAAGGACCAGGTAATCAGACTGAGGAAGGGTGATGGGGAATTCACAAGAAACGACCGAGAGGTTTGTCAGGAACTCAACACAAGATTTAAAGAGGTATTTACAGTGGAAACCAGTAGGACTCCAAGAAATCAGAACTGGGGGGCACACCAGCAAGTGCTGGATGAGGTACATATAACCAAGGAGGAGGTGAAGAAGTTGCTATGCGAACTTGACACCTCAAAGGCGGTGGGACCAGACAACATCTCTCCATGGGTCCTTAAAGAGGGAGCAGAGATATTGTGTGAGCCATTAACAAAGATCTTCAACACATCATTTGAAACTGGGCAACTCCCTGAGGTATGGAAAATGGCAAATGTAGTCCCAATTTTTAAAAAGGGAGACAGACATGAGGCACTAAACTACAGACCTGTATCACTAACGTGTATAGTATGCAAGGTCATGGAGAAGATCATCAGGAGGAGAGTGGTGGGGCACCTGGAAAGAAACAAGTGTATAATTGACAACCAGCACGGTTTCAGGGAAGGAAAATCCTGTGTCACAAACCTACTAGAGTTTTATGACAAGGTGACAGAAGTAAGACAAGAGGGAGAGGGGTGGATCGACTGCATATTTTTGGACTGCAAGAAGGCCTTCGACACAGTTCCGCACAAGAGGTTACTGCAAAAGCTAGAGGATCAGGCACACATAACAGGAAAGGCACTGCAATGGGTCAGAGAATATCTGACAGGGAGGCAACAACGAGTCATGGTACACGACGAGGTGTCAGAGTGGGCGCCTTTGACAAGCGGGGTTCCACAGGGGTCAGTCCTAGGACCTGTGTTGTTCTTGGTATATATGAACGACATAACGGAAGGGTTAGACTCAGAAGTGTCCTTGTTTGCAGATGATGCGAAGTTAATGAGAAGAATCAAATCGGATGAGGATCAGGCAGGACTACAAAGAGACCTGGACAGGCTACAAGCCTGGTCCAGCAACTGGCTCCTTGAATTTAACCCTGCCAAATGCAAAGTCATGAAGATTGGGGAAGGGCAAAGAAGACCGCAGACACAATATAGTTTAGATGGCCAAAGACTGCAAACCTCACTCAAGGAAAAAGATCTGGGGGTGAGTATAACACCGAGCATATCTCCTGAGGTGCACATCAATCAGATAACTGCTGCAGCATACGGGCGCCTGGCAAACCTACGGATAGCGTTCCGATACCTCAGTAAGGATTCGTTTAAGACTGTATACCATTTACGTCAGGCCCATACTGGAGTATGCAGCACCAGTTTGGAATCCACACCTAGTCAAGCACGTCAAGAAATTAGAGAAAGTGCAAAGGTTTGCAACAAGACTAGTCCCAGAGCTACGGGGATTATCCTACGAAGAAAGGTTGAGGGAAATCGGCCTGACGACACTGGAGGACAGGAGGGTCAGGGGAGACATGATAACGACATATAAAATACTGCGCGGAATAGACAAGGTGGACAAAGACGGGATGTTCAAGAGAAGGGACACAGACACAAGAGGTCACAATTGGAAGTTGAAGACTCAGATGAATCAAAGGGATGTTAGGAAGTATTTCTTCAGTCATAGAGTAGTCAGGCCGTGGAATAGCCTAGAAAGTGACGTAGTGGAGGCAGGAACCATACATAGTTTTAAGGCGAGGTATGATAGAGCTCATGGGGCAGGGAGAGAGAGGACCTAGTAGCAATCAGCGAAGAGGCGGGGCCAGGAGCTGTGAATCGACCCCTGCAACCACAAATAGGTGAGTACAAATAGGTGAGTACACACACTCACACACACACACACTCACGCACACACACACACACACACACACACACACACACACACACACAAACACACACACACACACACACACACACAAACACACACACGCACACACACACACGCACACTCACACATTACACACACACACATACACACACACACACACACACACACACACACACACACACACACACACTCACACATTACCCACACACACACACACACACACACACACACACACATACAAAACACACACACACACACACACACACTCACACATACCACACCACACACACACACACACACACACACACACACGCACACACACACACACACACACACACCACACACACTCACACACATACACACACACACACACACACAACACACACACACTCACACATTACCCACACACACATACACACAACACACACACACGCACACACACACACACATACACACACACACACACACACACACACACACACTCACACATTACCCACACACACAACACACACACACACCACACACACACACACACACACACACACACACACACACACACACACACACACACACACACACACACCACACACCACACCACACATACAACACACACACAAACACACACACTCACACACACAAACAACTACAACTCAACAACTCACAAAACAAAACACAGTGGGCACCTGTGACGAGCGGGTCCCACAGGGTCGGTCCTAGACCAGTGCATTTGGTATATGTGAAACGACATGACGGAAGGGTTAGACTCAGAAGTGTCCCTGTTTGCAGATGATGTGAAGTTAATGAGGAGAATAAATCTGATGAGACCAGGCAGGACTCAAAGAACCTGGACAGACTGGACACCTGGTCCAGCAAATGGCTTCTCGAATTTAATCCTGCAAATGCAAAGTCATGAAGATGGGGAGGGGCACAGAAGACCACAGACAGAGTATAGGCTAGTGGCCCCAAGACTGCAAACCTCACTCAAGGAGAAAGATCTTGGGGTGAGTATAACACCGAGCATGTCTCCGGAAGCACACATCAATCAGATAACTGCTGCAGCATATGGGCGCCTGGCAAACCTGAGAACAGCATTCCGATACCTTAGTAAGGAATCATTCAAGACACTGTACACCGTGGTATGTCAGGCCCATACTGGAGTATGCAGCACCTGTTTGGAACCCGCACTTGATAAAGCACGTCAAGAAACTAGAGAAAGTACAAAGGTTTGCGACAAGGTTAGTTCCAGAGCTAAGGGGAATGTCCTATGAAGAAAGATTAAGGGAAATCGGCCTGACCACACTGGAGGACAGGAGGGTCAGGGGAGACATGATAACGACATATAAAATACTGCGTGGAATAGACAAGGGGTGGACAAAGACAGGATGTTACAGGGAGGGGACACAGAAACAAGAGGCCACAATTGGAAGTTGAAGACACAAATGAGTCAGAGAGATAGTAGGAGGTATTTCTTCAGTCATAGAGTTGTAAGGCAGTGGAATAGCCTAGAAAATGACGTAGTGGAGGCAGGAACCATACACAGTTTTAAGACGAGGTTTGATAAAGCTCATGGAGCGGGGAGAGAGAGGGCCTAGTAGCAACCGGTGAAGAGGCGGGGCCAGGAGCTAGGACTCGACCCCTGCAACCACAAATAGGTGAGTACAAATAGGTGAGTACACACACACACACATACAACACACACACTCACACACACACACACACACACACACACTCACTCACACACACACACACAGATACAACACACACACACACACACACACTCACACACACACACACTCACACTCACACATTACACACACACACACACTCACACACACACACACTCACACTCACACATTACACACACACACACACACTCACACACACACACACACTCACACATTACACACACACACACACTCACACACACTCACACACACACACACACACACCTGAAGTCACAAGAAAGGGAAGGTGTCATAACATATACACAAATATAAAGCAAAAGCCATAAGGAAGAGGGAGATAAGAGACCACTACACGCACATGTAAGCTTGCTAAAATAAAAAAAATTGAAATCCCTATATAAGACTCACTCTGATGAGGTGAATCATAGCATCTGTGAAGAAGACGAGATCCATACCAGCGCCGCGAACCATCTCGTTGTACTGAGAAAGAAACATCTGAAGACGGTCCTCGAGCGTGCTGAAGGAAGGTATGGGTTCGTACACTTTTGGCATTTCCATATCCAGGTCCTCTCCTTCATCCCCAGTTGGTTCTGGAGCATCCCTACAGCCAGGTGGATGATACATGTGTAGTAATATTAACTAATACTGTGTGATACAGTTTATCACAATATATTTAGTATGCAAGAATACAACAGTTCAATATTCATTATTTTATATATATTTAGTACTTGTATGGGAAGTGAGAAGCACACAGAATCTGTACTTGAAAGTAAAGAAGAAACAGAAATAAAAGGAAACATTGAAAAGAACTCATAATTCAAAAAAAATCTAAAATGTGGATTTATGAAAGTTTAGCTTCAGAAAATCTCTCGACAAGGAAAGAATGATCAAGCAAAAGTAAACTGCAGAAAGTAAGAATTAAGAAGTTACAAGAATAAAGGCATAAAGACAAAAGATAAAGACATACTGACAAATAATAATGAAATAATGATCAGAATAGTATAATGAAACAAGACTTGGCAAAACATAGGATAGTAAAACAAGGAGAAATATATGACTATTATTACAGATTAGACAAAAAAAGATTTTGTAAATAACCACAAGGTGATAGACACAGCAATAAATATCTTTGGCTGAATAGAAAAATAAAAATGAATTAAAAAGTATGTGAACTATTTACGATGAAATGTACTGTCTTTAAGACATTAAATTCATTTGCAGGAAGCTTGTGCTGTTCAATAAACTCTCCTTTTGGGGTAAAATCTAAAAATACTTTCCTTATTTTCTATGTAAAAAAATCTGTTTACACAAAAATCCTAATGTAGCATCCATGTTCCCAGACTCACCTGAGGAAGTCGACGAAGAAGTGTGTGGTAGTAATGTTCTTTGTAAACTTTGGCCCGAGCTCTTGCTGTGCTAGAGTCACTAGAGCATCCTCGAACCAGCGTACATCTTTCACCGACGTGAACCTGCCAGAAGGCACATCAACATCTGTCAGTGAATATCAAAATAGTATACACTACCGATTATGAAACTGAATTCTTCTTCAGGCTGAGGGACTGACAACCTCAAATCTAGATCTTCAAGGGGGATGGACTGATTACATCGTCTTCACATCTCTACTGCTCCAGCCTACTTTCTGCACTTGACTGAAGAAGCCTATTGTGTAGGCGAAACGTTTCAGAATAAAGATGCCTTACTTACCAACACTTGTCAGTACTGACTGACCACGACCACCCTCCCTCATGTCAACACTGACCCACCATCAACATTATCCAACATTATCATGGCCACCTACCTGTCAGATATGACCCTGCAGCACTCATGACGCCAGAGGGATAGAAGGGTTTCAGAGGAGGTGACTACGTTGGCAGCAGCGCCCAGCATTCCTTGCCAGATGCGTGAAAGATCCCGCAAATTGAATACGTAATGGAACTTGGCTGGTGTAGGGAGAAGTTTGTTCTGTAAGAATGGGACACATGAACTGAATTTATGCTTCTAACACAAGAAGATTATGTGATGTTTGGAGGTGTTAGATATTGGTTATTTATAACCTTGCAAAAGTCATCAATAGTCTCGTTGTCAAAGGCTGATGCTTAGCTTACATATTTTTACTGTTTTTTGTAAAATTATTGTTATGCCTTGTTCATGTGATCTGGAACAGACGATGATGCTATATTAAGTATTATGTATCATTGGAGTTAATATTCAAAGAAATGAATTACGTTACAAAAAAAATAACAATTGTTAAGAAATAATATTAACTAAATATTGGACCGTGAAAGGAGGGAAGGGGCTGGTTACCTTGAATGTGGTAAGGACTAAACATATCAGGTCTTCAATCAATAAATCAATCAATCAATCAAGTTTATACTCTATAAAGATTACAATGCGGGGTTTACATATTATAGGATATTGTGTGGCTTACATATTATAAAATACTAATTACAGAGAGGGCCACTATCACACCTAGCATGACTAGGCATTTCGAGCAGACTAAGATTAATTCAAAACTGTACATGTTGGTACAGATTATGGAGCATATTGGTATTAAGGCTAAGTAATTGCATGACAGTTCGTAAATTTAACAGTGGGAATGGTTTTGTTTTGGTACGATACATAGTTTCTATTGAAGCTCCTATATTGGAGTATCACAGGCAAACTTCATTACCTTGGTATGGGCCCACAGCTTCCTCGTCAAGGGTACCAACTTTTCAACCATGTCCCGTACTTCCTGGTTGAAGCCACGCTTACTACTGAAGTGGCCACGAGCTATCACCCCGAAGATCTTATTGATGGATCCCTCAGAAGGAATTGTTGAATTGAAGATACAGAAGTGGCGTTTCAAGCGAGAGGGAATATCGTTGCGTCCTCCACCTGCATCCATCGAATATTCACTCGGCATTATAATTGAAGCAATTACTTAAAAGTCAAATTATACGTACTAACAGAGATACTGGTGAACGTACAGAATGGTGAAATTTGTTACTAGTATATATATATTTTTTGCACTGTTGTATTATTTTCTAGAGGCATAAAATTCTCAGAAGAACATCACTGAGATGTTAAAAATTTTGAGTGATCCTAAACCACATTCTAGAGTGTCCATTATGAGTGCTCACCTGGGTGACCCATGGCTGCCAAATATTGCAGGTCTACAATGTAAGTGAAGTCCCCAGGCTTCTCCAGACTGTAGAACCCACCCATCTCCATCGCTTGACGTACTATTTCGTTCGTGGGCTACAAAAGTAAAATTATTATCCACTTTCTGAAGACTGAAGTAAAGAGCAAGAGTCATATTCACAATGTCAAACTGCCGAAGTTGTTCTGGAAAACTTTCAAATCATTACATTACTGTCTTCTTTCCAACAACATCTGCCACAGTCAATACGATGTAATATTTATTAGGTGTCTTCGAAAGTCACTTTATTACAATTATATTATATTAAAAAAAGCACAACACATAGATACTAGGCCTAAACATGAACTTTCTCAAGTGATGACAGCCTCTAAAACAATAATGTTCCCGTTGCAGAAATGCAGTCCTACAGTCACACTCCTCTTCAGGAAAATTGCAGCACGAGAGATGGAAACCCATGGAGCAGTCTCCAATAAAAGTTTAAAACTGTATTATTTCACCGACTAGCAGCTTATAACTAACTTTATATTCACATATTTATTATCGACTGCTGAAAATAATGAACCTAAAACAAAACTCATCCTGTACATGCCCACATACAAACCAAAGCAGACGTCTTTTTGACTTGTGGTTTCTGAGGCTCACCTGGTCGCCCCAGTCATTGATGTGTGGCATGTTGAGGTCATCCACGAACACTGTCATTTTTTTTCCTGCAGGAGGACCAAAGGTGCTGCCCATCCGCTTGTCTACATAGCTTTCCATGGTTCTCTGAGAAATATACACCAGCTCAAAGAGTGCTAATGATTAATACATCATGTACTATATATATATATATATATATATATATATATATATATATATTATATATATATATATATATATATATATTATATATATATATCGCGCCGAATAGGTAAAACTTGCGATACAGGCCTAAATAGCAACGCTCTTCTTGCCGAATAAGGCAAGCGAAAATTTGTGTATGCAACAATTTCGCAAAAATAATTCTGAACCTAACTAAAAAAAAATATATTTCATTGTGTTTACTTATTATTAAATTACTGTAAACTTATCTAAAATATATTTAGTTGGATTAGGCTAAATTAAATTGCGCTTGTTATAATAAGCTTAGGTAAGTTTTCTAAGGTTCTTTTGGTACAAAATTATTAATTTTTACATTAACATAAATGAAAAATATATATCTTTAAACGTACAAGAGAAAGTTTTATGAGTACTCTGGTGAGTATTAATGTCACGTCCAGGCTGGAGCGTTTGTATTTTGAGAATGTGATTAAGATCACCACTGCGTTTTAGATGCCCCAGAGGACTTTCTCGATCTTCCTGTTCCATCCTTTAACAGCCTTTTGACCTATCTATGTGGGTTTCCCTCAACATAGTATGATAGCGAATCAATATATGGAAAATCTGGAAATGCGATTTCCTTTTATTAACGTTTCTCCGGTGTCCTTGTTCCTGTGTGATGACAAACTCTTCATAACTAGTAGACAATTTGACTTTTCTTCACTCAGCACAAGGACAAACAGGTTTGAGGTCTATATTGACTTCACGGTCAATGAAGAAGTCAACGGCACTCTCCTTTTCTGATGTTCTCCTCAGTTAATCTGACCCTGAACCTCGTTTTGACGTTCTTCACAAATTTAACTACCAACATGAACTTCTCCACTTATACTCAAAAGACTAAACATGGCCTGATCATCGGCTTCTTCGTACGTAGTTTGTGGTAATCAGTCTCTCAGTTCAGCCTGGGTGGATGATAATAAGGCTAAAGGAAAGTTACTCATGCTAAGATACTGATTAACTTTCAATGAGGCTGAAAGATTTCTCTCATAAAGACTGAGGACTGATTACTTCACACTACTTTTCACTTTGTCTACTATCTCCTGGACTGTGAAACCTGGTGAAACTGGTGAAACCTGCTGCACAGTCGAAACTTTTCTTTAGCCACCGGTGGTCTGGTGGCTAAAGCTCCCGCTTCACACACAGAGGGCCCGGGTTCGATTCCCGGCGGGTGGAAACATTTCGACACGTTTCCTTACACCTGTTGTCCTGTTCACCTAGCAGCAAATAGGTACCTGGGTGTTAGTCGACTGGTGTGGGTCGCATCCTGGGGGACAAGATTAAGGACCCCAATGGAAATAAGTTGGACAGTCCTCGATGACGCACTGACTTTCTTTGGTTATCCTGGGTGGCTAACCCTCCGGGGTTAAAAATCCGAACGAAATCTCTCTCTCTCTTACTAGTAATGCATTTATGTTTTGTTCATACCGTCCAGAGATCTTTCACACATTTCTGAACACCAATAGAATGGACGACTGAACTAACGCTTGTGTTTCACACTGAGACTCCCACAATGAGGAAGTATGAATCCTTGCCATGGATTCTACAGTACTGCTGAGCTTACCGAAAACTTCTAGATCGGTTTTTTCACTTAAGTATGGCGAAGCACTGCAGTAGTCCTACTAGCCCATGCTAGGCAGGTTCTTCACAGATCCAACTCTTCTCACTCACATATCAGTTAAACCTAATTTTAAACCTAATTTTAAAGTTGCCCAAGGTAGCTTCTACACACCTAAACAAACTCTTCACCTCACTACACATCTTAAATATACCTGAAGATCCACTGTGCGGGCGAAACATTGTTGTCGTTACTGCTCAAGAATTGTTTTTAGCAAAAATAAGGATATATTCTCAATGTTATTTAAATATTCTCAAATTTCATACAGTAAATGTGAAGAATTAATAATAATCATCCAAGATAAACACGCGTTTTTTCTCTAAAAAAAAGAAAAGTTTAAATAACTAATATTGTCAAAAGATGTTTTACAGTCAAAGATATATGTTAATTTGTGGTCTTACTGCATGCTATTAAAAATTAGATGTTATTTATAAATGATGTTCATAGGCAATTAACAATATACAAATAGTTTTAATTATTGTAACTTTAAAATCACCATAAATTATACAATAACTCCTAAGTTATTGTTTAATTTGGGTGCAATAATTTATGATAGTCAGAGTGCTGAGGGTGACACGAGTCAGTATGGACCTGGAAGTAGAGAGGTGTTGAAGCTGATGAGAAGTTGAAGTTACGACACAGATGATCCTCGGGGTTGTATTTCTTCATGAAAGCGTTGATGGTGACTGTCTTAGCAGACCCCGGCTCACCGATGAGTAACACCGCCTGCCATGAATATTAACACTCATAGTTATGTCTTGATGTTTGTGTACAGAGAACAACAGTATATGTACTTTTGCAAGAGGCGCCTGAGTTTCCCTGTCTCCTAATATCATGTTTATTTTTCCCCTATAATCTACCTTGTCCATAATTACTATCTTATTTGCTTTGTCTGTTTTCGTAAAGTCTAGGATCTTCCATTAATTGTGTCCCTTAATTGTGTTGCAGAAGTCTGAGCAATTAAGGAAAGATCCTGGACTTCACCTTTACGAAAGCAGACAAAGCAAATGCGATAGTAAGTATGGACACGGTAGATTACAGCAAAAAAATAAGTTTGATATAAGAAGACAGGGGAGCTGACGTTCCCCTTAATGCACTTAAAAGTTTAATTTAGTGCTAAATGGCCCATATTTCAAAATAAATATTTTTGACTGGTGATGAACATGTAAGATGAAGTCATACTGACCTTGGTGTGGACATTTCCTAATCCCAATTAACCAACCAACAGCCTTCCACAGTACAATGTTGGTCAGTTATCAGTACGTAGCAATACTTTAAACGGACTATTGCTATCAAAAACTTGGATTCCCAAGAATATTATCCTTTTTTGATGAACTTTAGTGTTAAAATTTCATATATAAGAATACACATTTTATAAGATCAATGGAGTTTAAAAGATATATACACCAAGTAGCGTCTACGTGTTGACAACAGTAAAGTAATACTATACAAGGGTTACCTTACCATAAGGTTGATCACACTGACCTCTCACTATCAGGAGGGTCACACTGACCTCTCACTATGAGGAGAGTCACACTGACCTCTCACTATGAAGAGGGTCACACTGACCTCTCACTATGAGGAGCGTCACTCTGACCTCTCACTATGAGGAGGGTCACACTGACCTCTCACTATGAGGAGGGTCACACTGACCTCTCACTATGAGGAGGGTCACACTGACCTCTCACTATGAGGAGGGTCACACTGACCTCTCACTATGAGAAGGGTCACACTGACCTCTCACTATGAGGAGAGTCACACTGACCTCTCACTATGAAGAGGGTCACACTGACCTCTCACTATTAGGAGGGTCACACTGACCTCTCACTATGAGGAGGGTCACACTGACCTCTCACTATGAGGAGAGTCACGCTGACCTCTCACTATGAAGAAGGTCACACTGACCTCTCACTATGAGGAGCGTCACACTGACCTCTCACTATGAGGAGGGTCACACTGACCTCTCACTATGAGGAGGGTCACATTGACCTCTCACTATGAGGAGGGTCACACTGACCTCTCACTATGAGGAGGGTCACACTGACCTCTCACTATGAGGAGGGTCGCACTGACCTCTCACTATGAGGAGGGTCACACTGACCTCTCACTATGAGGAGGGTCACACTGACCTCTCACTATGAGGAGGGTCACACTGACATCTCACTATGATGAGGGTCACATTGACATCTCACTATGAGGAGGGTCACACTGACCTCTCACTATGAGGAGGGTCACACTGACCTCTCACTATGAGGAGGATCACACTGACCTCTCACTATGAGGAGGGTCACACTGACCTCTCACTATGAGAAGGGTCACACTGACCTCTCACTATGAGGAGGGTCACACTGACCTCTCACTATGAGGAGGGTCACACTGACCTCTCACTATGTGGAGGGTCACACTGACCCCTCAATATGAGGAGGGTGATGATGGATCACTAACCCCTCACAGTAATGATGGATCACTAACCCCTCACAGTGATGATGGATCACTAACCCCTCACGGTGATGATGGATCACTAACCCCTCACAGTGATGATGGATCACAAACCCCTCACAGTGATGATGGATCACTAACCCCTCACAGTGATGATGGATCACAAACCCCTCACAGTGATGATGGATCACTAACCCTTCACGGTGATGATAAATCACTAACCCCTCACAGTGATGATGGATCACTAACCCCTCACAGTGATGATGGATTACTGACCCCTCACGGTGATGATGGATCACTAACCCCTCACAATGATGATGGATCACTAATCCCTCACAGTGATGATGGATCACTAACCCCTCACAGTGATGATAAATCACTAACCCCTCACAGTGATAAGGGATCACAATCCCTCACAGTGATGATGGATTACTAACCCCTCACGGTGATGATGGATCACTAACCCCTCACAGTGATGATGGATCACTAACCCCTCACAGTGATGATGGATCACTAACCCCTCACAGTGATGATGGATCACTAACCCCTCACAGTGATGATGGATCACTAACCCTCACAGTGATGATGGATCACTAACCCTCACAGTGATGATGGATCACTAACCCCTCACAGTGATGATGGATCACTAACCCCTCACAGTGATGAAGGATCACTAATCCCTCACAGTGACGATGGATCACTAACCCCTCACGGTGATGATGGATCACTAACCCCTCACAGAGATGATGGACCGCTAACCCCTCACAGTGATGATGGATCACTAACCCCTCACAGTGATGATGGATCACTAACCCCTCACAGTGATGATGGATCACTAACCCCTCACGGTGATGATGGATCACTAACCCCTAACAGTGATAATGGATCACTAACCCCTAACAGTGATGATGGATCACTAACCCCTCACAGTGATGATGGATCACTAACCACTCACAGTGATGATGGATCACTAACCCCTCACAGTGATGAAGGATCACTAACCCCTCACAGTGATGATGGATCACTAACCCTTCACGGTGATGATGGATCACTAACCCCTCAAAGTGATGATGGATCATTAACCCCTCAGTGATGATGGATCACTAACCCCTCACAATGATGATGGATCACTAACCCCTCACGGTGATGATGGATCACTAACCCCTAACAGTGATGATGGATCACTAACCCCTCACAGTGATAATGGATCATTAATCCCTCACAGTGATGATGGATCACTAACCCCTCACAGTGATGATGGATCATTAACCCCTCACAGTGATGATGGAGCACTAACCCCTCACAGTAATGATGGATCACCAACCCATCACGGTGTTGATGGATCACTAACCTCTCACAGTGATGATGGATCACTAACCCCTCACGGTGATGATGGATCACTAACCCCTCACAGTGATGATGGATCACTAACCCTTCACAGTGATGATGGATCACTAACCCCTCACAGTGATAATGGATCACTAACCACTCACAGTGATGATGGATCAGTAACCCCTCACAGTGATGATGGATCACTAACCCCTCACAGTGATGATGGATCACTAACCCCTCACAGTGATGATGGATCACTAACCCCTCACAGTGATAATGGATCACTAATCCCTCACAGTGATGATGGATCACTAATCCCTCACAGTGATGATGGATCACTAACCCCACACAGTGATGATAAATCACTAACCCCTCACAGTGATGAGGGATCACAATCCCTCACAGTGATGATGGATTACTAACCCCTCACGGTGATGATGGATCACTAACCCCTCACAGTGATGATGGATCACTAACCTCTCACAGTGATCATGGATCACTAACCCCTCACAGTGATCATGGATCACTAACCCCTCACAGTGATAACGGATCACTAACCCCTCACAGTGATGATGGATCACTAACCCCTCACAGTGATGATGGATCACTGACCCCTCACGGTGATGATGGATCACTAACCCCTCACAGTGATGATGGATCACTAACCCCTCACAGTAATGATGGATCACTAACCTCTCACAGTGATTATGGATCATTTACCCCTCACAGTGATGATGGATCACTAACCCCTAACAGTGATGATGGATCACTAACCCCTCACAGTGATGATGGATCACTAAACCCTCACAGTGATGATGGATCACTAACCCCTCACAGTGATGATGGATCACTAACCCCTCACAGTGATGATGGATCACTGACCCCTCACGGTGATGATGGATCACTAACCCCTCACAGTGATGATGGATCACTAACCTCTCACAGTGATTATGGATCATTTACCCCTCACAGTGATGATGGATCACTAACCCCTCACAGTGATGATGGATCACTAACCCCTCACAGTGATGATGGATCACTAACCCCTCACAGTGATGATGGATCACTAATCCGTCACAGTGATGATGGATCACTAACCCCTCACAGTGATGATGGATCACTAACCCCTCACGGTGATGATAAATCACTAACCACTCACAGTGACAAGAGATCCACTAACCTTTCCTTGCTGCGCTATAATGTGGATAAGGAAGTCCATCCTCACATTGTCAACATTGGGCACCAGGAAGGAGGTATAGTCTGGGCTACCTGTATCAGGGTACACAAACTCCGTCACTCGGGTCTCCCAGTGCTGCCACCATCCTGCCAATATGATATACGTAGTAGGTTTTTAATATTATGAAATATGCTTATGATTATCTTACTGTACTGTTCAGTGAAGTTCTTAGGGGCTTAAGCCTTAGTCTGGGAATTACCATCTTATCCCACCAGCATGCTAAAAACTGTAGGATAAGTTAAGATTTCGTTAGGATTTTTAACCCTGGAGGGTTAGTCACCCAAGGTAATCCAAGAAAGGCAGTGCGTCATAAAGGACTGTCTTATTTCCATTTAGGTCCTCAATCTTGTCCCCCAGGATGCGACCTACACCAGTCGACTAACACCCAGGTACCTACTTGCTGCTAGGTGAACAGGACAATAGGTGTATGAAAAAACGCTTCGAAATGTTTCTAACCCACCAGGAATCGAACCCGGGCCCTTCGTGTGTGAAGCGAGAGCTTTGCCAGCCAGGCCACGGGCTTTCACAGGGAAGTGACGCACAGTTTAGATTATATAAGACCAGGGACTGGACGATGAGACTTACAGAAAGATACGTTATATCTTCAACAATGTGTAATTTTTCTATCTCCCACTCGTCACCTAAGCAGGTCGACCACACACAGAACTAGACGTATTTCGGACGCTGTGCGACCCAAGAAATGTATCCCAATACTGTATAACCGCAGCCTCCTGCGTGACAATACACGCGTAAAGATTAGAGCAGAGTGTGGTACAAGTTTCTTATGCAGCTAAATGCTTGCTAGCGTTGATATGGCATTCACAGGTTACCAGATGAAAAATAATATCCAGATTTCTTCAATAAAAATGACAAATCAGGACATACACAACACAAAACTTATTCAAACATCCAACTAAGAAACAAATTTTAATTTAAAATCAAACTGAAGCTGCAGACTTTCGATATCACAGAGACTAATATCCTAAAATTCACCAGAACATTAAGTTTGAAGCCGTTCAGTATATACAAATTAAAATTTACATAGTTCAAAATGAATGCCAAAATTTCTTTTGATGAAGGCCACCAACGGTGAAAGTTTGAAACCGATCAGAACAAGCATTCTCCAGTAACTAATTTGCTTGTAACGAGTCCAAATTCTTTGACAGTTTCAGTAATTCTGTGAAGCCGATCAGAAAAAATATTCATTAGTTATTAAATGTAAATTAATATCACTAATTATTCAATATACATTAATTGCCAAGCTGGGATTTATGCCACTAAATAACAGCGTCAACCAACCGTACAGGAACCGTACAGAAACCGTACAGGAACCATACAGAAACCGTACAGGAACCGTGCAGGAACCGTACAGGAACCATACAGAAACCGTACAGGAACCGTACACAAACCGTACAGGAACCATACAGAAACCGTACAGAAACCGTACAGGAACTGTGCAGGAACCGTACAGGAACCATACAGAAACCGTACAGGAACCGGACAGAAACCGTACAGGAACCATACAGAAACCGTACAGGAACCGTGCAGGAACCGTACAGAAACCGTACAGGAACCGTACAGGAACCGTACAGGAACCGTACACAACCGAACACAAGCCTATCCGATGTTATCCTGACGCCAAATGACTTCGAACAGGCGATAAATGACATGCCCATGCACTCTGCCCCAGGGCCAGACTCATGGAACTCTGTGTTCATCAAGAACTGCAAGAAGCCCCTATCACGAGCCTTTTCCATCCTATGGAGAGGGAGCATGGACACGGGGGTCGTCCCTCAGTTACTAAAAACAACAGACATAGCCCCACTCCACAAAGGGGGCAGTAAAGCAACAGCAAAGAACTACAGACCAATAGCACTAACATCCCATATCATAAAAATCTTTGAAAGGGTCCTAAGAAGCAAGATCACCACCCATCTAGAAAACCCCTCAGTTACACAACCCCAGGGCAACAGGGTTTAGAACAGGTCGCTCCTGTCTGTCTCAACTACTGGATCACTACGACAAGGTCCTAAATGCACTAGAAGACAAAAAGAATGCAGATGTAATATATACAGACTTTGCAAAAGCCTTTCGACAAGTGTGACCATGGCGTAATAGCGCACAAAAATGCGCGCTAAAGGAATAACAGGAAAAGTCGGTCGATGGATCTATAATTTCCTCACTAACAGAACACAGAGAGTAGTCGTCAACAGAGTAAAGTCCGAGGCAGCTACGGTGAAAAGCTCTGTCCCACAAGGCACAGTACTAGCTCCCATCTTGTTCCTCATCCTCATATCCGACATAGACAAGGATGTCAGCCACAGCACCGTGTCTTCCTTTGCAGATGACACCCGAATCTGCATGACAGTGTCTTCCATTGCAGACACTGAAAGGCTCCAGGCGGACATCAACCAAATCTTTCAGTGGGCTGCAGAAAACAATATGAAGTTCAACGATGAGAAATTTCAATTACTCAGATTGGTAACATGAGGAAATTAAATCTTCATCAGAGTACAAAACAAATTTGGCCACAAAATAGAGCGAACACCAACGTCAAAGACCTAGGAGTGATTATGTCGGAGGATCTCACCTTCAAGGACCATAACATTGTATCAATCGCATCTGCTAGAAAAATGACAGGATGGATAATGAGAACCTTCAAAACTAGGGAGGCCAAGCCCATGATGACACTCTTCAGGTCACTTGTTCTATCTAGGCTGGAATATTGCTGCACTCTAACAGCACCTTCAAGGCAGTGTGAAATTGCCGACCTAGAAAATGTACAGAGAACTTTCACGGCGCGCATAACGGAGATAAAACACCTCAATTACTGGGAGCGCTTGAGGTTTCTAAACCTGTATTCCCTGGAACGCAGGAGGAGAGATACATGATTATATACACCTGGAAAATCCTAGAGGGACTAGTACCAAACTTGCACACGAAAATCACTCACTACGAAAGCAAAGACTTGGCAGACGATGCACCATCCCCCCAATGAAAAGCAGGGGTGTCACTAGCACGTTAAGAGACCATACAATAAGTGTCAGGGGCCCGAGACTGTTCAACTGCCTCCCAGCACACATAAGGGGGATTACCAACAGACCCCTGGCAGTCTTCAAGCTGGCACTGGACAAGCAACTAAAGTCAGTTCCTGATCAGCCGGGCTGTGGCTCGTACGTTGGTTTGCGTGCAGCCAGCAGCAACAGCCTGGTTGATCAGGCGCTGATCCACCAGGAGGCCTGGTCACAGACCGGGCCGCGGGGGCGTTGACCCCCGAAACTCTCTCCAGGTAAACCCTCCAGGTAAACCGTACAGGAACCGTACAGGAACCGTACAGGAATCGTGCAGGAACCGTACAGAAACCGTACAGGAACCGTACAGGAACCGTACAGGAACCGTACAGAAACCATACAAAACCGTACAGGAACCGTACAGAAACCGTACAGAAACCGTACAGGAAACATACAGAAAACCATGCAGGAACCGTACAGGAAACCGTACAGGAAACCGTACAGGAAACCACAGAGGAAACCACACAGGAAACCATACAGGAAACCATACAGGAAACCATACAGAAAACCACACAGGAAACCACACAGAAAACCGTACAGGAAACCAATCATGAAACCACAGAGGAAACCACACAGGAAACCGTACAGGAAACCACACAGGAAACCGTACAGGAAACCACACAGGAAACCACACAGGAAATCCACAGGAAACCCCACAGGAAACTGTACAGGAACCCACAGGAACCATACATGAAACCGTACAGGAAACCACACAGGAAACCACACAGGAAACTGTACAGGAAACCACACAGGAAACCATACATGAAACCGTACAGGAAACCACACAGGAAACCACACAGGAAACCACACAGGAAACCGTACAGGAAACCTTACGGAAACCGTACAGGAAACCACACAGGAAAAATGTACAGGAAACCATTACAGGAAAAACCCTACAGGAAACCACGCAGGAAACCACACAGGAAACCACACAGGAAACCACACAGGAAAAACCCCACAGGAAACCACACAGGAAACCACACAGGGAAACCAAACAGGAAACCACACAGGAAACCGTACAGGAAACCACACAGGAAACCACACAGGAAACAAACAGGAAATCAAAACAGGAAACACACAGGAAACCGTACAGGATAACCACACGGAAATCACCCAGAAAACCACACAGGCAACGTACAGGAAACCACCCCAGGAAAACCAACACAGGAAACCGTACAGGAAACCACAGGAAACCACACAGGAAAACGTACAGGAAACCACACAGGAAACCACACAGGAAACCACACAGGAAACCACACAGGAAACCGTACAGGAAAAACCCCACAGGAAACCGTACAGGAAAAACCCCACAGGAAACCACACAGAAAAAACCCCACAGGAAACCACACAGGAAAACCCCACAGGAAAAACCCTACAGGAAACCCCACAGGAAACCACACAGGAAAAACCCTACAGGAAACCACACAGGAAACCACACAGGAAACCACACAGGAAACCACACAGGAAACCATACAGGAAACCACACAGGAAACCACACAGGAAACCACACAGGAAACCACACAGGAAACCACACAGGAAACCACACAGGAAACCACACAGGAAACCACACAGGAAACCACACAGGAAACCGTACAAAGGGAAAACCCCAAAAGGAAACCGTACAGGAAAAACCCCAAGGAAACACACAGGAAACCACATAGGAAACCACACAGAAACCACACAGGAAACCACACAGGAAACCACACAGGAAACCCTACAGGAAACCCTACAGGAAAAACCCCACAGGAAACACCCAGGAAACCACAGAGGAAACGTACAGGAAACCACCCAGGAAACCACACAGGAAACCGTACAGAAACCACACAGGGGAAAACCCCACAGGAAACCACACAGGAAACAGTGCAGGAAACCGCACATGAAACCACACAGGAAACCACACATGAAACCGTACAGGAAACCGTACAGGAAACCACACAGGAAACCGTACAGGAAACCGTACAGGAAACACACAGGAAACCCCACAGGAAACCGTACAGGAAACCACACAGGAAACC